AATAGAGACCACATTGCCCCTCTTAGTATAAATACTGCAGGGAAGTAGTCATTTTAATATAGGACATTCCACTGGAGAACAGTCCTCTGAATTTACATTCTACTGCTTCACTGTCACCACCAACAGAATACAGAAGATTCGGAGAAGAAATACAGTCTCTATGGAAAGCTAGAAGAAAAAGAAAGCACTATTCAACCAATAGAGAACCAAGGCTCACTTTGCTATCAGTAGTTAACGTGATATAAACAGCATCAAATGATACCGTTAAGATGTAACATGGTGTTATGGAGAAGCTGCCACATATTTAGGTGGAACATAGAAAAAAAAACGACCTTGAAGCTATGGAAAGGAAAGGTGTTTAAAAAAATAAAAATAAATATTTCAAATTGTAACCTTTTGACTCCATATGCTAATTAATTATGATTGATTATAAAAGATAAAATATGGTGAAGTCACTAGATGATTAGAAAAAAAACTGCACAAATGTTTCTCTCATCAGTCACCATTGCTGCCCATTCTCATATTGCAGATATTTTTCATCCTTTTTAGCCATGTAGGACAAAAATATTTGCTTTTTTTATTGATAAATAAAGGTTTTACTGGCTGACAGAAAATTTTCTTTGTTAGGCAAAAACCTTGACAGACTGTGGTGTCACGTCTGTATTTTTACATTTCTGTAGATGTCACCATATCCTTTTGACCTCTTGTTCTCGGAATGTGTTCCCTTTAAATCCCATTAGTCCATTTTGAGCTCTAGATTTACACCTAAAACTGCTAATCAGATGATGACTCCCTTTAGGCCAAAAAAACAAAACATTTGTCGTTTTGGTGATAAATTCCTCTCTGCACTAGTTAAAATATACTCTCTGACAGAGAATCTCAGTCGTTCCTCCAATAGCATGAAGAGGTTTGGTCTAATGGCCATTGCACTTATAACAAAGCTGCTATTGATTTTATTATTTATACAGCTTAGATCAGGGGTGCTTAAACTCCGGCCCCCCAGATGTTGCTGAACTACAACTCCCATTATTCTCTGGCTATCTATGTAATTCAAAGAATCATGGGAGTTGCAGTTCAGCAACATCAGGGGGGCTGGAGTTTGAGGATCCCTGGCTTAGATATTTAGCCACATTTTGCAACAGAATGGGTTTATACACAGACTGACATAAAGTGAAATATTATATGACAAAATATATTAAAATATACAAGGCATTTTAACTGCTGCCCTACCCCAGGATAGGGAAGTGTTCTGTTATTATTACTTCTTTGAGCAGAATCCTCTTCAACCTATTGTTCCTGTAAAATGTTTGTCAAACAGATATTATCAATAAAATTGCAAATTTTCTCAGACAAATCACAACCGAGACGTTGTGGCGGTTTTCACAGAGTATTATAAGACATTATACGACCACTCCCCCGGGGACAGAAGGGAGAGCACTAGCGGGGAGGAGTGCTTACAATGGTTTTTGGGAGGCATACAGTTACCGAAACTACTGCGGGAGGCGGCAGGGGGTCTTGCGGCTGAAATCACGGAAAGTGAAATCGATAAGGCGATCTCCGGATTAAAAGGAAATAAGGCCCCTGGCCCGTACGGGTTCGATGGGGCATACTATAAAACCTTTCGGGAGGCCCTGACCCCTTTCCTCCATACACTATTCAACGACTTTCGCATAGAGGGAACGCCGACCCCAGATATGTCGTTGGCCACTATAGTCTTATTGCCCAAACCAGATAAGGACCCCCTGCTGCCAGGCAGTTATAGGCCCATTTCCTTAATTAACCAGGATATGAAGATTCTGGCCAAAATCCAGGCGGACAGACTCGCCCCCTTCCTTACGCATCTCATTGATGCAGACCAGGTAGAGTTTGTGGCGGGTAGACAACTATTTGAGAACACACGCCGAAATATTAGAAAGGATCAGCAAGGAGCTGGAAGGGGCAGAAGGAGCGCAAAGGTAAAGTAGGAGAAGGAGCAGAAAGGAAAAAAAATTAGCAGTAAGGGTCAGCAAGGAGCAAAAAGCATCTACAAGGAACAGGAAGGGGCAGCAGGAGCAGGAAGGGATAGAAGGAGCACAAAGGTAAAGTAGCAGAAGGAGCAACAAGAAGCAGAAAGGGGTGGCCAGGAGCTGGAAAGGGCAGCAAGGAGCAGGAAGGGACAGAAGGAGCGCAAAGGTAAAGGAGCAAAAAGGTATAGTAGGAGAAAAAGCAGAAAGGAGAAGGAACAGAAATGAGCAGAAAGAATCAGAAGGATCACAAAGGTAAAGTAGGAGAAGGAGCTGAAAGGAGCAGCAATGAGCAGAAAGGGCAACAATGAGCAGGAAGGTAAAGTAGGAGAAGAAGTAAAAAGGAGAAGGAACAGAAATGAGCAGAAAGGGGCAGCAAGGAGCACAACGGTAAAGGAGCAGAAAGAATCAGAAGGAGCACAAAGGTAAAGTAAGAGAAGGAGCAGAAAGGAACAGAAAGGATTTACAAGATGCAGAAAGGGGCAGCAAGGAGCTGGAAAGAGCAGCACGGAGCAGGAAGGGACAGAAAGAGCACAAAGGTAAAGGAGCAGAAAGAATCAGGAGCACAAAGGTAAAGTTGGAGAAAGAGCAATAAGGATATGGGACAGAAATGAGCAGGAAGGGACATCAAGGAGCAGAAAGGGTCAGCAATGATCGGAAAGGGGCAGAAGGAGCACAAAGTTAAAGTAATAGAAGGAGCAGAAAGGGGCAGCAAGAATCAGTATGTGGCAGCAAGAAGCAGGAAGGAGCAGGAAGAAGCAGGAAGGGGCAGCAAGAAGTAGGAAGGGTCTGCAAGAAGCAGAAAGGGGCAGGAAAGGACAGAAGAAGCACAAAGGTAAAGGAGCAGAAAGAATCAGAAGAAGCACAAAGGTAAAGTTGGAGAAGGAGAAGAAAGGGGCAGCAAGGAGCTCAAGGGGCAGAGGGAGTGCAAAGGTAAAGTAGGAGAAGGAGCAGAAAGGAATAGAAATTAGCAGAAAGGGTCAACAAGGAGCAGAAAGTGTCTGCAAGGAGTAGAGTGGGGCAGCTGGAGAAGGATGGGACAGAAGGAGCACAAAGGTAAAGGAGCAGAAATAATCAGGTAAAGTAGGAAAAGGAGCAGCAATGAGCAGAAAGGGCAACAATGAGCAGAAAGGCAAAGTAGTAGAAGGAACAGAAAGGGGAAGGGACAGAAATGGGCAGGAAGGGCAGCAAGGAGCAGAATGGTAAAGCAACAGGAAAAATCAGAAGGAGCACAAAGGTAAAGTTGGAGAAGGAGCAGAAAGGAACAGAAAGAATCTACAAGGAGCACAAAGGGTCAGCAAGGAGCAGGAAGGGACAGAAAGAGCACAAAGGTAAAGTAGGAGAAGGAGCAATAAGGAGAAGGAACAGAAATGAGCAGGAAAGGATATCAAGGAGCAAAAAGGAGAAGGAACAGAAATGAGCAGGAAGGGACATCAAGGAGCAGAAAGGGTAAGCAATGATCTGGAAGGGGCAGAAGGAGCACAAAGGTAAAGTAGGAGAATGAGCAGAAAGGAACATAAATGAGCAGGAAGGACCAACAAGGAGCAGAAAGGGGAAGCAAGAGGCAGGAAGGGGCAGCAAAAGGCAGGCAGGGGCAGCAAGGAGCAGAAAGAGGCAGCAAGGAACAGAAAGAGTAAGCAAGGAGCATGAAGGTACAGAAGGAGCACAAAGGTAAAGTAGGAGAAGGAGCAGAAAGGGCTAGCAAGGAGCTGGAAATGGTAAGCAATGAGCTGGAAGGGGCAGAATGAGCGCAAAGGTAAAGTAGGAGAAATAGCAGAAAGGAATAGAAATTAGCAGGAAGGGTCAGCAAGGAGCAGAAAGCATCTTCAAGGAGCAGGAAGGGTCAGTAGGAGCAGGAAGGGACAGAAGGGGCACAAAGGTAAAGGAGCAGAAAGAATCAGAAGGAGCACAAAGGTAAAGTAGGAGAAGGAGCAGAAATGGTCTGCAAGGAGCAGGAAGGGATCAGAAAGATAAAGGAGCAGAAGGGCACAAAAGAAGCGAAAAGTAGCAGAAAGGTAAAAAAGCATAAGGAGCCAAGGAGTGGAGAAGACATTGTTAGAAGAAAAAGAAGAGTGTGTCAAATGAAGGAGAAGAAAGGGAAATTGGAGCAGGAAGGACAAGTAAAGTGATCCCTCCACTTCATTCTGGACACCACATTAAAAGGCTTTGGTGAATATGGCTCCATCACGTGGTCAGACCACGCGCCCCTGGTACTAGCCATACAAATACCCACCATCCCACAAAAACTATTCCAATGGAAACTTAACGACCTCCTTCTAAATAACCCAGAGATTGTCTCGCAGCTCAGAGACTCTATAGACAACTATTTCACCATCAATGCTACCCCATCCTCACCCCCACCTCTCACGTGGGAAGCGCACAAATGTGTGCTGAGAGGAGAAATAATAGCACTGGCAGCAAGACACAAAAAGATACGAGAGGCCTCCATTCGAACACTCACAGAGGACATACGGAAACTAGAAATCAGACACAAAACAGACACGCGACTAGACACTTACAAAGCCCTCACAGCTAAAAGGTCTGCCCTACAGGACTTACTAAATGCCAAAATCAAACGCACGCTCCTGCTGACAAAACACTCCTATTATGCACATGGAGGCAAATGTGGACGTCTACTAGCTAACTCTCTAAAACAACAGAGGCAGTCGACCTTCATATTCAAAATTAGAACTCCCTCAGGAGCCATATCATATAAACTCCCAGACATACTATCAGCTTTCCAAGACTTCTACACCAGGCTTTACAATCTGAGGGACTCCCCCCCACCAACACAGGACATTGAACGCTTCTTGGCTTCCAGGGTCCACCAGACTATCCCCGCAAATGTTCTTCTGACGCTTGATGCACCTATAACTTCAGACGAAGTCAATTTTGCTATACGACACCTCAAACTGGGGAAGAGCCCAGGGCCAGACGGCTTCACGGCCAAATACTACAGAACATTCGCCCACTCCCTTACTGAACCCTTCACACGGGCATTTAACTCCCTTGCTCAACCTGTCGCCTTCCCCAAAGCATCTTTGGAGGCGCACATAGCCCTCATACCCAAGCCTGGCAAAGACCCGACCAATTGCGGTAGCTACCGCCCAATATCTCTGATAAATCTTGATGTGAAATTGTTCACAAAAATATTGGCCACCCGCTTGAAACCTTTACTCCAAACCTTGATACACTCCGACCAAGCGGGCTTCGTTCCCAACAGAGAAGCAAAACACAACACCACAAAAATTTTAAACTTGATATATTTGGCAAAACGCCTACCAACGGAGAGCCTCCTGCTCTCAATCGACGCGGAAAAGGCGTTCGATAGAGTGGACTGGACACTACTGACTGCCACCCTGAGCAAAATAGGATTTGGTCCCAAATGGTTGGACTGGATGCAAGCCATCTATTCCAATCCCACAGCCAGACTAAGGGTAAATGGACAACTCTCGGAACCAGTACTCATTAGAAACGGCACGAGACAGGGCTGTCCCCTCTCCCACCTCCTCTTTATCCTCATACTGGAACCCTTCTTAAACGGAATCCGGGACAACCCGGCTATCAGGGGTATTCAAATACAAGGGGCGGAGTACAAAATCTCAGCTTTCGTTGATGATCTACTCTTCACCATACAAACTCCTGACACTTCCTTGCCCCCACTCCTAGAGGAAATAGCCCAATACCATAAACTCTCCAATTTTCAGGTAAATTTCTCCAAAAGCGAAATCCTACCAATCCGAATAGCGCCCCTCTCACGCACAAGCCTGCAAGCCGCATTTCCCTTCACATGGGCGGATAAATCCATTATATACCTGGGAGTTCGTCTGCCGGCGGATCTCTCTTCCATCTTCACACTAAACTACGACCCACTATACCAAACTATCTCAAAAGACCTGCAAAACTGGCAAAAACCACAGTTCTCATGGCTATGTAGAATCAATATTCTTAAAATGAACTCCCTCCCCAAGATACTATACCTTTTCCAAACCCTACCGATAGCAATACCAAAGCCCTTTTTCACAAAACTTAGGCAACTTTTCACCGCTTTTATATGGGCACAGAAACAACCTAGAATTCCATATGAGGTTCTCACCAGACACAAGTCATGTGGAGGCCTGGGCCTCCCACACATGGAAAGGTACTACAGGGCAACCATTCTTTCCAGGATTCACGACTGGTCCACGCACCCTCCGGCACGCCAATGGGTAACCCTTGAAAGTGCAGTGAGCCTAGTACCTCTTTACACACTCCCCTGGCAAAGAGTAATTCCCTCAAAATTGCTTTCCTGTTGCTCCGCACACCCCACCATCCTCCCCACGCTTAAGAAATGGGTGAACATACGGGAGGCTGAGAGTATTTCCCCTCACCCTTCTCCACTCTATCCCATCACCTACAACCCAATATTCCCCCCTGGTATGCAACCCGGGATATACCAACGGTACTCTAAAATGCTGGACGCTCCCTACCTGACGTTGGGTTCAGTGGTTGAGAACAACTCCATACGAACACTGAGTGATCTGGTGGGCCCTGCAACCCCACATACACTACAAGCATTTCACTACGCCCAGCTGACGCACTTCTTAAGAGCCAACACGAGCTTGCTCGGGGGTTCCCGCACCCTCTCCGATTTTGAGACACACTGTCTAACCAATACCCCCAAAACCAAACAACTTTCGACCTTTTATAAACTTCTGATGGCCGAACATAAAACCAAATTGCCACCCTTCACAGAATCCTGGCTAACAGACCTCAATGTACAAATCACGCTGCCTCAGTGGCAGACTGCCCTTTCACATATTCACACGACGTCCACATGCACGCAAATCCAAGAAAGTGGATATAAGAGAATATCCAGGTGGCACTACTCCCTGGCCAAAATCCATAACATTTTCCCGAACACGCCCGATGTGTGCTGGAAATGCTCCCAACCAAAAGCGTCACTAGCCCACATCTGGTGGCATTGCCCACTCACACGATACTGGACCAACATTGTGAAGATGATCCATACTGAAACAGGTACACAACTGCCTCTTACCCCCCACACTCCGCTGTTCCTGATCTTACCTACCCCAATTCCCAAGACACAAAGAACCCTCCTGCTACATCTTCTTACTGCAGCCAACCTGCTCATCCCGGTTAAGTGGAAACATACTGAGGTCCCCACGATCAGGGAATGGGTAGCAAGAGTAGAGTCAATCAGAACTATGGAAGAGATCCACGCATCCATCTCCCACAACTATACACTTTTTAGGGACACATGGACGCCATGGGTGAGATTCGTGACCGGCAATATAACCTGATTACCGGTGGATCACACTCCTCCCTACTGGGTTACCTTTCCGGATGAGTCGACTGCTGTGTTGATTGGCAGTACGACACGTCCCTCTCACAATACCACCTGAGGTGATCAGAACAAGACACAGGACCCACGGCTCAGTTCACTTAGGTAGTCCTCACTCCGCCGCCCGCTAGACGCGCACACAACAACCCACAATTGCCGCCATGTAGGGCCGTTTCTGGCCTAGCTAAGACAGTGGCACAAAACAGGTAGGCGGGAGCTGACAACATTGATTCCCCACTTAACACCCATGACAACGACCTGGACTTCTGGCCCACAACCCAATATGGATCCTAGTAAATGGAAACACCCGATCTCAATACAAACCCGAACCTCAGCCTTAGTAAGTGTACCCGTCTTAGATGCATTAATGAATACTGTATAAATTGTATAACTTTGACAAACCCTATTGATATGTATTATTTATCTGTCCGAATATGTACTTATACCTGTGATGTCAATTGCCACCCCAGATGCAAATGTTTTTGCATGCACTCCCCTCCTTCTATTTCTGTACCCCTATACTATGATGGTATATACTTTTGAAAAACAATAAAATCTATTAAAATAAAAAAAAATAAAAAAATAAAAGGCTTTGGTACCTGGGCCTGGCAGGGAAACTTTGGACCTTCTCATCTCCCCAGGTAACAAATGTGTTCACTTTTATTTACTGAGTGTCAGGAAGCATTGAGTGCCGCTGGGTAGGCATGTGTTGCTGATTGGCTGACCGCTCTGGTCAGCTGGCACTCTTAGCCAATCAGTAGCTCCCCCCAAAAAAGTAAAACATTTTTATAAACTGTGAACTAGCGATTGGCTTAGAGCGTCAGCTGACCACTCTAGTCAATCAGCGGCACCCATGCCTGACGTCAATCTGCACTTCCTGACACACTGTTTCAAAAAGATCTGGAGCTGGAGGAAGCCTTTGGGGTTAAACCATTTGAGAGCAGTTTAACCCCTTAAAGGAAAGAGAACACCCAGGAGCCTGCTGTCATCATAGCATTTTCATTTAGATGAAGTTGTTATGGGGCTATATTATGTTATGAATTTTCCTTTAATTTGCCTAAAGGAACACTGTAGTGTCAGGAATACAAACATGTATTCTTGACACCATAGCTGTGAAAACGCTATTCACCCTGGCTTTATGTGATGATGACTATGCCCCTCCCCTTCATTTCACTGTCAAAAAGGGGCCAAGCATGGATGTCATTACAATTATGCCCCCCCAGTGGAACAATTCCTGTGTACAGTCATGTGGGTGACATCACCAAATTCATTGTACTGAATCCCCTTTCACAATCACCGGATGTCACTGGAAGACTGTTAACTGCTGTCCGCCTAATCTCTCTCCCAGCCAGTATCCTGTCTCCACGTCAGTGTCCTGTCTCCCAATCCCTCCCCTTCCCTCTCCTTGTCTTTCGCCATGGCATCCCATGCCATGACATATACAGTGCCCACCCCCCAGGACTGTTCGCATGGCCCACCGGCCTAAGCCAGTACCGCACTGAATGCTGTGTCGGCTGGCGGCTTCCTAGCTCCATGTGCAGCTCTTTTTGCATCCGGGTGGTCTGCTAAGGGCAGGTCCTGCAGGACTACTAACAGGAACAGTGTTCCTGCTGTGGAAAAAGTGCAGGAACGCCGTTCCCACGCGTTCCTGCAGGACTCGAGCCCTGCTATCTACAGTGCTGAGGGAATGTTTAATAGCATCTCTCTGCAAACAGAAGACAAGAATTAGTAAAGGGAAGAGCCATGCATATTTTATGGATATTTTATTGAAGGGAACAAAACAAAGCACTGCATAGATCATGCGGCCAGAAGTTTTACTGCTCAATTCTCTGCCATTTATGAGTTAAATCCTTTTTGTTTCTGTTTATGCAGCCCTAGTCACACCCTGGCTGCGACCTACACAGTGTCCCGTCATGTTTCCTGTAAAAAGAGATCTAATATTTAAACTTTCTTTATTGCACATTCTGTTTAATTTATAATTGCTTATCACCTGCTATGTTAATAGCCTGATAGAGCCTGCAGGACCATCTTGTGTGTGGTTAAAGTTCAATTAATAGAGCAGGAGATAAAAAAACATCTAAAGTAAGATATGAAACCATTTTTTAATGCAGGTTGTGTCAGTCACATGAGAGGTGTGGCTAGGGCTGCATAAACAGAAACAAAAGTGATTTAACTCCTAAATGGCATAGAATTGAGCACAGGGACTACAGGGGAATGATCTATACCAGTGGTTCCAAACTTTTTAGGGTCAAGGCACCCTTAATATTTCAGTATTTTACCAAAGCACTCCAAGTCAAAATTTCTAAAAATGAAAAATATATATTAATAAATAATAAAAACAATAGGCTCGTCCAAGGGGTCTTAGTTGTGCTGTTCTTGAGACCTCGAACTAGCAGACTGACTTGCTACCACGCTGTTGTTTTTAATTATTTATAATATTTATTTATTTTTTCGTTCTTTTTGTTCACTTCCTAAATATCAGCTATTAGGTTACTATAGCTTAGCGGGTTCTAGTGACAGGTGCCCTCGAAGGCATGGGAGGGAAGCAGCTTAACACGAGGTAGCGATTGGTGGGAGATTTTCTTTGCACCGTCTGGAAGCTGTGCTCTGTCTATTTGTTACTCAGAGTACTTCTTACCCGGAGAGAGCACGATCACTCTAGATCAATAGCCACTTAGCTATCTAGCCAGGCTATTCACCCACCTCACAAAGACACTACTACCCTATCCTGTGTCTCGGGAGGGGGTGTTAGTATCTGTGTAATATGGGCTACGCTATGCTTCCCTGCTAAGTTTACTTATGTTGGTTCTAATGATTTGACCATTTCCCTGATTATCAGAGATATATAGGAGCTAAGTAAGATTCTATTCTGACGAAGTTGAGCACAGACATGTGCAGACTTATACCGTAACTAACTGGCCCTGCAGTCAGTGGCGTACACATGAGCCATGGGGCCCCGGTGCGAAAATTGATCCGTGGGCTCCCCCCCCCCCCAGCGCGCGGGCCGCAACACATGGCGGTGGGCAGCTGGCTGCGACCGCGGTATGTACGCCAGTGCATGCAGATGCACACACACTTAAAGGACCACTACAGACACCCAGATCACTTTAGCTCAATGAAGTTGTCTGGGTGTCAGGTCCCTCTAGTTTTAACCCTGCAGCTGAAAACATAGCAGTTTCAGAGAAACTGCTATGTTTCACTGAGGGTTAATCCAGCCTCTAGTGGCTGTCTCACTGACAGCTGCTAGAGGAGCACACTGAATGTCCATAGGAAAGCATTGAGTAATGCTTTCCTATGGGCGGTTTGAATGCGTGCGCGGTCGCATTCGGAGCTGAGAGGCTGAGGGATCCCCAGCGCCAAGGGAGTCCGGCGCTGGAGAAAGGTAAGTTCTGAAGACACACACACACACACAAACGCATACACACTAGCTAACAGACACACACATTTACTGACAGAGACACACTCAGCGACAGACATACATACACACTCACAAAACATACACTCTCATTGACAAACACACACTCACTAACAGAAATCAAACAGACTCACTGACACTCACTAGCAGACACACACACTAACACTCACACACACTAACACTCACTAGCAGACACACACACTAACACTCACACACTAACACTCACACATACTAGCCAGGGCCTTCTTTAATTTAGATTGGACCTGGGCGAGCATTTACTTGGGCTCCCTGACTACGTCTACATACACACAAATACACTACCTGACACACATGCAGATACACACTGACCACATATAGATACACACAAGAACATACAGATACACACAGACTACATATAGATACACTGACACACACATAGACACACACACAGATACAAACACTGACATACATGCAGATACAAAGGTACACACACTGACTACTTATAGATACACCGACACACACACTGACAGACACACAGATACACAACCTGACACACATGCAGATATACAGATACAAACACTGACACATACAGATACACACACAAATACAAATGGACAACATACAGATACAGAGACACATTCTGACAGACGTACTGACACAGACTCACACACAGAAAACCATACTGAAACACACATACACAAAGACATACTGAACCACACAGACACTGATGGACTCTCACACACACAGACATACAGATACACTGACAGACATATTGGCACATATACACACAGACAGACAGACATACTGAAACACACATACACACAGACATTGACAGACATATTGACAAACACAGACATACAGAACCACACTGACAGACTCACACATAGACATACTGACAGACATACACACATTCTGGCACACAGACACAGACACTGACAGATATACACACATACAGACATTTTGAAACTCACAGACAGCCATACTGAAACACACAGACACTGACAGACTCACAGACACAGACATACTGGCACACAGACAGACATTCTGGCAGACAGACAGACAGACATGCTGAAACACACATACACACATACAGACAGATATGCTGAAACACACATACACACATACAGACAGACATGCTGAAACACACATACACACATACAGACAGACAGACATGCTGAAACACACATACACACAGATACAGACAGACAAACACACATCCAGACATTTTGACATACACAGACAGCCATACTGAAACACACATACACACTGAACCACAGACACTGACAGACTCACACACAGACATACTGACACACTGACAGACATACACACATACAGCCATACTGAACCACACAGACACTGACAGACAAACACACATCCAGACATTTTGACATACACAGACAGCCATTCTGAAACACACATACACACTGAACCACAGACACTGACAGACTCACATACAGACATACTGAACCACACAGACACTGACAGACAAACACACATCCAGACATACAGATACACTGACAGACTTTGATAACCACCCTCCAGTTTCTTACCTTTTCCTGGAGGGTGGCTTCCCTGGGGTCCAGTGGGCTGGCTGGGAGTTAAGCTCCCGGCCTGGCCCCCACCGGAACAGCTGGTCTGCCTTCCTCCCGCGCGGCTCCTGTTACTGTAGGAGGAAGTGACGCGCGGCTGTCACTTCCTCCCAGTGCTGCCGAAAAGCAAGGGCCCGGTCGCGCTGTTAAAGCGCCACAGCGCCCGACCGGGCCCCTACTGACACAGGCCCACCGGGTGGCCCTAAGTGCATGGGCCACCCGATGGGCCCCCATAGTTTGCGGGCAGAGGGCAAACAGGGTAGTTACCTCGGGCCCCCCCAGCAGGGACAGGGCCCGGGGCAGCTGCCCTGTTTGCCCCGCGTTAAAGACGGCCCTGATACTAGCAGACACACATACTAACACTCACACATACTAACACTCACACACACTAACACTCACTAGCAGACACACATACTAAAACTCACACACACTAACACTCACTCTCACTCTAACACTAACACGTGTTTTTTTGTTTTTTAAAATGTAATCCCCCCAGCCTCCTTACCTTTTGGAGTGCTGGGGGGATTCCCTGGGGTCCAGTGGTGCTGCTGGGCTCCTGGGCGGGTGGCCGGTCGGGCTCGCGAGGGAGCACTCAGTGCTTCCTCTTCAGCTCCCTTGCGCGCCGCATAGGAATGCCGGCGCCGGAAGATGACGTCATCTTCCGGCTCCGGTATCAGTGCGGTGCGCACACTAACACTAATACACACACTAATACACACACAAACACACACACATACACTAATACAAACACACACTAACACACACACATACACTAATACAAACACACACTAACACACACACACACACTAATACAAACACACACTAACACACATTTGTTTTTTCAAATTTAATCCCCCCAGCCTCCTTACCTTTTGGAGCGCAAGGGGTCCAGTGGTGCTGCTGGGCTCCTGGTCACTGGGCGGGCGGCCGGCGCGCGAGGGAGCACTTTACACTGTGTGCTTCCTCTTCAGCTCCCTCGCGCGCCGCGTAGGGATGCCGGCGCCGGAAGATGACGTCATCTCCCGGCTCCGGTATCAGTGCGGTGCGCGAGGGAGCTGAAGAGGAAGCGCTGAGTGCTCCCTCGCGCGCCCGCCTGCCTGCCTGCCTGCCCGACCGGCTGCCCGCCCGGCCACCCGCCTTCCTGGTGTCAGCATGGCCAGCCTCGGGGGGGGGGGCCCTGGGGTGGTCGGCTCCTGGGCCCCCCAGGGGAAGAGGCTGGCCCACCGGGTCGCAGGGGCGGCCGGGCCCGGTCGCAGCCGCGACCCTGGTGTGTACGCCACTGCCTGCAGTATACTATTTTGTTTATCATCAAATTAGTATCTACCATACCTATTTCACATACCAGTATATTGATACCAACTCTATGTCTTAGCAGTCAAGCTTAGCTATACAGATTCTCTAGATCCATCCTAGGATTTATGTGAGAACTAATTTCTCTGATCTATACAATAGATTACTTATATCTCTAGATCCATTCTAGGATTTATGTGAGAATGAATTCATTTTGATTTACATCTCATGCAGGTGATACAGTGACTATTCCTGCACCAGTGTATCTCTATCATCCATTGCCACTGTTTCCTTATACCGCTAGAATTAACCTATCAGAGTCACATAGACTAGTGGTATCCCACACTAATATTCACTATGGCAATAGAGATATTTTAATCATTTATTAGTTCTATACTTATTTTCCTCACTGTTTTGTACTAAAGCACCTATTCACTACTTGCTATTTTCATTAGATTTAATAAAATGTGTTTATTTGATATATTTTTCGTTTTTATCTAATTCCACATCTGGCAACCATCCTGTGGATTTCTGACAACCACTATTGAGTACATTTCATCTATCCCAGTCCTTATCGGTACACTTCTCCAGTTTTATATATTTGGGCTGATGAATATTATAGCCATTGCTGCTGTCCTAAATAGTGTGAGTTTGAGTGCAGGGCTTAATTTCCTGTTATATAGATATGCCTAGGGATTTTGGATAGTGAGCAGGCAACTGTTTTGCAGGATTGTGTGTGTGTAGGTGTGACTGTGTGTTGGCGGCGTCTGTGTGTGTGGGGGAGGGGGGTGATTGTGGGGTATAATTATGTGTGGGGAGCTCTAGTGGTTGTCTCATTGACAGCCGCTAGAGGGCTTCTGCGCTTCTCACTGTGATTTTCACAATGAGAAGACGCTTGTGACCATAGGAAAGCATTGTGAATGCTTTCCTATGGACTGGCTGAATGAGTGCGCGGCTCCTGCCGTGCATGCGCATTCAGCCAAAGAAGAGGAGAGGAGGCGGAGAGGAGGAGGAGAGCTCCCCGCCCGGTGCTGGAGAAAGAGGTAAGTTTAACCCCTTCCTCCACCTAGAGCCCGGCACTGTTTTCCTGGCACTATAGTGGTCCTTTAAGTGACATACTGAAATGGAAAAATCAATCGAGGTATTGATTATTTCTTTGTGTATCTGCCCCTGGCCAAATCAATGAAACAATGCGTGCACGCTCCCTGAAGTAATTCACACCAGACACAGGTTCCAGGTTGTTGAATAACTTGAGGAATGTTTATTCAGAGGGGACGGCAGGTCCCTTTTAAAGCAAAGTTACATCATAAGCATTGTCAGAGATAACATGGAATAATACATCAATTATTGGTTAGGTGTTAAGTGGTCATTCTAATGCCCTGCCTACTGGGGGTGATGTCACCAGGGCCATGAGGGTCTCCCACGGTTTCCTGGCGCCATCTTGTTGCACGAGGTAATTAGTCGGTGTTAAAGGGAGGGGGAGGAAAGGAGGGGTTAGAAGCTTCTAGCTGCCATCTTGGTTAAAACATGTGTGCATAGCTTATATTATATATAGTGAAATGAGTAAATAGACATTTTCATTAACTAGGAAATATGTGCAGACCTTATTTCCACAACACTCCCCCCAAAATGGCTATTTACTATGACAACTTGCTACTGTCCCTAGTGTATCCCTAGCTGCCTGCAGCTCATCTGTCTTCACAAGCATCGAACTCTTCAATCCGTGGGTAACCCGCAGTAGCTAGTCCACCACATCTCCGCACGTGAGACTTGCCCGAAAAGACAGACGCTTTCCCTACACTGTACAGAAATGCAGTTGTCTGTTTAAACTGATGTGATTGAAGGGGTGTATGTGGGGTGTCATCTTCGAGGTCTGTGATGTCTTGATGTAGGAAAGTAGGGGTAACGTCATCTATAGTCTTCCCTACTGCTTTCTGTAAGTACTTCTGTATGCAAGGGAGCACACAACAGGTTAAGAACAGTGGCGTACACATGACCCATGGGGCCCCGGTGCAAAAATTTAACCCTGGGAACCCCACCCACCCCCCCGCGCTTACTCGGCGCGGGTCGGGGTCGCAACACATGGTGGCGGGCACCTGGTCGCAGGGCTGCAACCCCGCGACCGCGGTATGCACACACACTCAAAGGACCACTACAGACATCCAGATCACATCAGCTCAATGAAGTGGTCTGGGTGCCAGGTCCCTCTAGTTTTAACCCTGCAGCTGAAAACATAGCCGTTTCAGAGAAACGGCTATGTTTCACTGAGGTTAATCCAGCCTCTGGTGGCTGTCTCATTGACAGCTGCTAGAGGAGCTTCCGCGATTCTCACTGTGAAAATCACAGTGAGAAGACACTGAACGTCCATAGGAAAGCATTGAGTAATGCTTTCCTATGGGCGGTTTAAATGCGCGAGCGCCTCTTGCCGCGCATGTGCATTTCGGAGCTGAGAGGCGGACACTGGGGAGTCCGACGCTGGAGAAAGGTAAATGCTGAAGACACACACACACACACACTCTCACGAACAGAAGCATACACACTAGCTAACAGACACACACATTTACTGACAGAGACACACTCAGCGACAGACATACATACACACTCACTTACAAAACATACACTTTCACTGACAAACACACACTCACTAACAGACATCAAACACACTCAGTAACAGACACACACAGTAACACACTCACTAGCACACACACCCAATAACAGACACATTCACTGACACACACACTAACACACACTCTAACACACACATACACTAACACACACATACACTAATACACACACTAACACACACATACACTAATACACACACTCTAACACACACACATACACTAACACACACACACACTCTAACACACATACATTAACACACACACACACACTAATACACACACTAATACACACATACACTAATACACACACACATACACTAATACACACACTAACACACACACATACACTAATACACACACTAACACACACACATACACTAATACACACACTAATACACACTAACACACACACACTAATACACACACTAACACACACTAATACACACACTAACACTAATACACACACTAACACTAATACACACACAAACACACACTAACACACACTAATACACACACAAACACACACTAACACACACACATACACTAATACAAACACACACTAACACACACACATACACTAATACAAACACACACTAACACACACACATACACTAATACAAACACACACTAACACACACACATACACTAATACAAACACACACTAACACACATTTGTTTTTTCAAATTTAATCCCCCCATCCTCCTTACCTTTTGGAGTGCTGGGGGGATTCCCTGGGGTCCAGTGGTGCTGCTGGGCTCCTGGTCACTGGGCGGGCGGCCGGCGCGCGAGGGAGCACTTTACACTGTGTGCTTCCTCTTCAGCTCCCTCGCGCGCCGCTAAGGATGCCGGCGCC